AACACTTAGGATCATTAGTACCCTCAATACCCAATAGATTTAACTCAAAAAACAACCAGGAAACACGAATCAAATCAACATTAGGCATTCAACAATCAACCAACAAGAATCCAACAATGTTCTTCGAGAACTTCACTTTTTAACATGTAAACAACCCAAAATCGCTGAATTGAAACAAGTTGGTGTGTGGGTGAACTAACCCATCACTAAAATATCTCACATACCTTAATAGGGATCATCCCCGACGAATTCCACTCCCAAGCCCTAAGCGTGAATTTAATTTTTTTCTAATCTGACAAAAATAAGTTTTTACCCCAATAAATCCCTAAAAATGAATTAGGAAATAAATTAAAGAAAAGACTACTTTGCCCTTCCTTAATTCCGGACTGGGACTTTCCTCAATCTAATAGCCCAACTTCCGAAGGGCATATCTCACTCATATGATGTCAAAATGGCACAAACTTGGTGGAGTTGGAAAGATCTCTCCAAGGGACTTCCAACCATATCAATATCTGCTCCTAACTCATCCTGAGCTAGGAGTTATGGCCGTTTGAAAATGGCCAAAACTCACTTTCTTAACTTGGAAAAACATTTCCAGATTTCCTTATTCTTTCCAAACATCAATATTTTCATATTTTAGACTCTTTATAGTTGTTTCTAGGTGCGAGGTGTTACAGCCAGGATGAGGGTTCACTTGGGACCTGCAATGGTTCTCAAGTGCCGCCCACTTCTAGGGCGTAGACTCGGGTCGTCACAATAATTGAGAAGAATATCTTGTAAATAAATATTTTTATGCTAGAACTTCTAATACATTGCTTAAGAAATAATCTATATATAGTTAATGCAAGAATTATTAATACACCCTTTTAGCATTTTTCTTACACACTATACCAAACGGCCCCTTAGTAAATATTAATATTACTCATTATTAGGTAAGAAACCATTATTAACCAAAATCCATTTATAATGCACAAGAAATCCATCTACGAGTAGATTTCTATTCTATATTCATGTTTGCCCAAAAAATAAATGTTTAACAAAAAAAGCTGTAATATCTAAAATTTGATGGGGTTGGCTCCGCAGATATTTGTGATTATACTCGTCAAAGTGATGGAAAATTTGGGGAGGTATTCAAACTTTGTGCAAGAGACTATGATGGGATTTCCAATTTGAATGTTGATCCAGCTCCTATAACTGTGAAAGTTGCTATTTGTACATTTTGTATATTTCATTGATTTTAAAGGTGTGCATATGCTGATTACTTAATGTAACTTTGTTATCAACGTTAGAAAAGTGCTAGATATGACCCTGTAGGATACGTGCAATTCTCGGTATAATTTTCATAAGGATGATGATGACAGTGATAGGGACCCACCAAAAAAGTAAAAAGAAGTTCTGAAGTTGTTCTATCTCAAATGTATGATCATTGTTTAGGATGTTTGCAATTGTGAAGGAAGTTGTTTAAATGTTTGGATATTTTCTTTGTGCTGGTTCAGCATGCTAGACTCTTGCTAGACTCCTTCTATTTTCTGTGTTAAACTAATTTTAAAATTTCCACTTACTGTTGAAATTTTATATTGCATGGTTTATTAATAAAATATTTCCTATGCAGTTATGTGGAAAACACACAGAACCTGATATACTCAGGCATGAGTTTTTTTTGCATCATATATAATATAATATCATAGTTAGGAGTCATTGGTTGAAAATGCTTCTAGAGGTGACTAACTGATTATCATTTTATTTATACAAAGGGTTTCAACACATGCATAAGATTAATGATTAATGACATAACCACTCCTCAAATCCAGCTCAAACATTTCCCATTTTTTTGAGCTTAAAGAGTGTGGAGGGTATTATTGAAAACAAATATTTTTTATGGAAATTATTGAATGCATTTTATTTTTAATAGACAAAACAAAACATTGCATAAAAAGTAAAATTAGCATAACTTATGTAGTCATTACTAATACATTGTATTCATCATTTTTATTATACACCCTATCAAACCATCCATTATATTATTTTTGTAGGTTCCTCCTTTTTTGGTATAACTCTTGTGTACAGAAAGTTGAGATCTCTTTTATTAATGAAACTAATTGTTTGATTAAAACAACATTAATAAAAAAAAATGGTAAGATTAGGTTAGTTTGTGTAATGAACCATTATTTTTCATATTTTTATGTAATCCATGATAATTATGAACTTGAGATGCTCGGTTATATAACACGTTCTTTTTCTTTAATAAGTTTCTCCACCCGCTACTTCATTGTCAACTTTTGTTCCTCCAAGTGTTTACCTGGAGGTAGTTCTAAGCAATGATTCATAATCATAAACATTAGTATTCTATTTTATTCTTTCTTGTTTAGTTTTTGTAATTTTTTTATGGAGATCTTCAAATGCCTCTAAGCCATTTGATTTTCCTTCATCCTAATTACGTTGGTGATACTCTTGTTTCATTTTGAAAATTTTATCAATTATTTCTTTGATACTTGTGGAACAATAGGAAAATGGTTTTCCACTTGGTGAAAAGACCATTACACCAACATCTGCTCTGGTTCAAGTCGCAACTTTATATACATTATTGAACAAGGTATTCTTTTGATTAACTAACAATGCGTGCTTTCTCAGACTTAATGGATATAAACCTGCAACTCAGGCCAGAGGAAATGTTGGTTTTATAGTCTTTTCACTAAGAATAAAACCATTTTCCTATGGTTCCACAAGTATAAAAAAAATAATGGAAAATTTTTCAAAAGTGAAAGTAGAGGATTGCCAACATGATTATACTGAGGGAAATTCTAATTGGTTTGACACAATGGAATATATCCATAAAAAATTACGAACATTGGACGAGGAAAAAAAAAGTGAATACTAATGTATAAGACTATACACCCAAACTCACAATACATCTAGATAAATATATGGAGGAGCAGAAGCTGGCAATTAAGTTGTAGGTTTGAGGTTGTAAAAGAAAAAAAATAGGAAGTGCTATTCTGGAATGCATTTTATTTTTAATACAAAAATAACAAAGGCCTCATAAAAAATAATATTAGCAAAACTTATGCAAACATTACAAATACACTCTATTCATTATTATTTTTATACACCCTATTAGAGGACCCCTTGTATTTTTGTTTGTATGTTCATCATTTTTTGGTATAACTCTTCTATACGACAAGTTGGCCTTTGTTTTTATTAATTGAACTCTTTCCTTGATTAATACAATAAACAAACAAATTTATTAAGGGTAAGAGTTGTGCTGGTAGTGTTGTTGTCGCCTATTGTTTATCATATATTTATGTAACCCATCTCAATCAGACAAATTTTTGTGTTGGATTGGAAAATGTCTCATTTTTTGATTAAATCTATTTTGACAAGCCAAATTCATTTTAAATTGATAGTTTTCCTACTTGGCTAACCAATATTTTCATACATTTACAACCTCAACGTCCACTATGGTAAATATATTTTCATGTGCTTCAAATCCCAATTTCAAAACACACCTTCAACCAACGAGACTCAAAAAATATCTGCTCACGCTAAGATCAATATCGGGAGTTCTACTCGCCCGAATTCAATTCCATAAGGTCGTACGGGTTCCTTAACGTCTTAGCTATCCACTCATGTAATCACATTCAATATTAAATCTCGCAATTGTTACCAGATTTCCCCAGACATCACTGACTTTGTTTTCATCCAAATCTGGACTAGGATTGGAAATCTCAAGCTACTACCAAAAAGTTTTATGGCCCAAAATTTTTCCCCGATGGGTTTTGTATAACGACGGGAACAGGTCATTATAGATGTGGGCTATGAAGAGACTTTTGCACCCATAGAAAAATGAATATGGTGCGAACAATTATTGCCATCGCTTCTTCACAAAATTGGTCTCTTCATCAAATGGATGTCAAAAATGTTTTTCTCCATTGTGATCTTAAAGAAGATATTTATATGAAACCTCCAACTAATTTGTTCTCATCACCTACATGGGATGTATGCAAGCTCCCCAAAATCTCAATTTTCTGACAATTCCTTGCATCATTAGGTATTTTCTAGGAACATACACTAATGGATTATTCTTCCCTAGATTTTCTACTATTTGTATTACTCCTTTTAGTGATTCTTAATAGGCACGATGTCCTGATACTCAGTGTTTAATCATTGGTTGCTGCATGTTTCTTAGAAAATCATTGATATCTTGGAACAGTAAGAAGCAAGATCGTGTATCCAAATAATCATCAAAGCCTGAATATCGATCTATTTCTACTGCACGTGGAAGCTAATCGTAAATAAATCTGAAATGATGGAGATACCCATATACTAAAACTGAATATCAAATCTAAAACAACGTAGTTTAGGGGTCCAACGAAATAGGAAAAGACCAAAAGACCTTCGACTTAACTTTTGTCTGAGTGACAGACGTACAGGACTAACGGATTGTCGATCGACTGACGGTCCGTGCTGGTCGACCGTCTTTCGTCACTGAAGCTAGATTTTGAGAGTATGATCCACGGCCCTGGACCACGGTCGGTAAGTCCTAACCGTGGCTAGACCTTTACCCAAAAAATTGGACTGAGTTCTGGGGAGGGCTGTAGTGACCATCCATGGACCACCAACAGGAACCGTAGATCACTCTACGGTCCGTTGGTGACGTTCGTAGGTGGCACATGTAGCACAGATTTTCTGTACCTTCGTTGTTCTAGCATACGGGGTGTTACATTATCTCCCCCTTGAGAACATTCATCCTCGAATGAAGACTAAACTAGTTGAAATAGAGGGAAGGAGCTGTAAACCCTACCACTATACACTGGAGACTGATTTCTGACTGAACTAAGTTCCAAGAACATGCAAATACGCTAAACTGCAAGTACAAACTAAAGGAACATGATATTAAGATTGAATTTGTGCATGAATGACTGAAAAACTGAAGAGGAACTATTACCTCAAGCTTGAGTGGACCTATTTGTCCCCTGGACTGGACCTATTCCGATTCTGAATTATCCATCACTACGTTGTTCCCAAGGTCTAGCAAAATTGAAATAGCAAAATTCTTGTGGGATCTCAATGGGTACAGAAACAACACGTTTCTCTGGATCATCATAGTGTACTTCGACATATCCACTCAAAAAAAGGTCTTTTCGTAATGGATGACCCTCGAAGCCATAATTTGTTGATATACGGCATAGATCCGGATGATTGATGGAAGAAACACCAAACATGTCCCAAACTTCTCGCTCCCATCGGCCGGCTGATGGAAATAGACTGACTACCGGAGATATTCGTGTTACTTTGTCTACACTGGTTTGTACACGAATGCATGAGTTATACCAAATACTCAGTAAATTATAACCACTTCAAATCTTTGTTTCCGAGAGGGATAATCAACTCCACAAATATCGACCGAAACTTGAACCCTTGTATAGGTATGTAATTTCATAAAGCACAACAATTGAAATAGGTAATCCATATTGGTATCAGATTTATTCCCATGTTCCGATCTTTCCTTTTTGTTGACCCATTTCTTGGGTAAAGTCTCTCAACTACAAACTAAAGGAATATGAACTATTACATCAAGCTTGAGTGGAATCGGAAGGAAAGAGGTGAGGATACTTGGACTTCATGTCTGCTTCCCAAGTAGCTCCCTCTACAGAATGACTCTTCCACCAAACCTTGACTGAAGTGACTTCTTTGTTTCTCAATCTTCTAACCTGACGATCAAGAATCTCATCTGGTACATCCTCATAAGAAAGGGAATATTTCACAGCCACACTCTCTAATGACACTACGGATGCTGGATCACCCACACATTTCTTCAATAGTGAGATGTGAAAGACTGGATGCACTGCTGCTAAATCTGCTAGCAACTCTAACTCATAAGCCACTTTACCAATCCTTTTCAAGATTCGGTAAGGGCCTACATATCTGGGACTCAGCTTCCCTTTCTTGCCAAATCTCATCACCCCCTTCATCGGTGACACTTTCAGTAAAACCGAATCATCAACTTGGAACTCTAGTTCCCTTCTTCTTACATCTGCATAAGACTTCTGGCGACTCTGGGATGTTATAAGTCTATCTATAATGAGGTGCACTTTCTCTATAGCATCAACGACTGAATTTGGCCATATCAAGGTTGTTTCACCTACTTCAAACCAACGAACAGGAGATCTACATCTACGCCTATACAATGCCTCATAAGGGAACATCTGAATGCTGGAATGGTAGCTATTATTGTAGGCGAACTCTATAAGAGGAAGTTGATCATCCCAACTACCCTTGAAGTCAATAACACAAGCTCTCAACATGTCCTCTAAGGTCTGAATGGAACACTCTGCCTGACCATCCGTTTGTGGATGAAATGTTGTGCTAAGGTTAACTTGAGTACCAAAACCTTTCTGAAATGACTTCCAGAAAATGAGAGGTAAACTGAGGACCTCTATCTAAGATGATAGACAAAGAAACCCCATGCCACCTCACAATCTCATTAATATAAAGCTTGGTGTAGTCCTCCGCCGAATCTCTAGTCTTAACCGCCAAAAAGCGTGAAGACTTAGTAACTCTGTCAACTATCACCCAAATGGAGTCATGTTGTCTGCGAGTACGAGGTAAACCTGTGATGAAGTCCACTATGATCACTTCCCACTTCCAAGTAAGAATGTCAATCTCCTGAGGCATACCTCCTGGTTTCAGATGTTCTACCTTGACTTGTTGGCAATTGGGGCACTTAGCCATAAAATCTGCTATATTTCTTTTCATACCATTCCACCAATAGACTTCTCGCAGATCACGGTACATCTTAGTGGAACCTGGATGAATAGAATATTTGGAGTTATGGGCCTCTGCAAGAATATGTTGTCTCAACTAGCCCACATAAGGAACACATAATCGACCCTGGTAGCGAAGCACACTATCTCCTCCTTGGGCGAAAACCTCAACTCTCTGTTGATGGACTACACCATTGAGTTCAACTAGCATCGGATCACTGTCTTGCTTTTATTTTTCTTCTACCACCAAAGAAGATTTTACCCCATTCTGAACCGTTACACCACCATCTGATATGCTCATAAAACGAACTCCTAGGTGAGTAAGTCTGTGAACATCCTTTGCTAGCTCTTTTCTTTCTTCCTCAACATGTGCTACACTACCCATAGATAATCTGCTAG